TTAAACAAAACTTACCAGAATAATTTCTCATAAACCTGACTGAGCCTTATCGAGCTCGAGCTCGAAATCGAGTTCGTCAGCCGTATCGAGCTCGAGCTGGAAATCAAGCTCGCGAGCTCGACTCAAACTCGACCGAGCTCGAGTTCGAGTCTCAATTCTGAGGCTCGACAGGCTCGAGCTCGAACTCGAACTCGACACTGTTGTAAACGAGCCGGGCTCGATAAGCCCAAAGCTCGGCTCGGCTCGTTTACAGCCCTAGATTAGGATCTTGTGTGCTCTGATACCACTTGACATAGCGGAAGAATTGTAGGGCAATTAGATCTTCAATAATTAGGGTTAGAATATGGTGATTGTGGTTGGAACAATAAAAATTAATTAAGTTTAAAGAAAACCTTTGAATTAAAATTTTGAATTAAAGAAAAGATACAATAAATTGACTATGTTATCCTATTTTTATTAATTAGAACAAATCATAATTCTAGGTTGAAAACTATTCCCAATTTCTTATTAAATAGAAATCCTAAATAAAAGGGAAAACTAAAAAAATAACTGAAATTCTTTCTTAGTTTAACTAAAACTGATACCGTTTATTAATTTAATTAAAATCCTAATTTAACTTAGATGCTCTGCATCAAAATTGATATAAGCTGTCCTCAGAAAAGATAGCAATCAGGTTTAACTAGTAAATGGGCAGCACGAAGAGAGATGAAGTTGTATAAACAGTAGCTTGTTGTTGGGTATTTAGTGCACGGGAGACAAAATCTGTGCCTCAATTTTAATAAGAATGGGTACTACGTAGATGACTGTGAGTCTGTGACTGTGACAAGCCTTGCAAATTTGCAGTATGCAATAAACTATAAAGAGTGGATTTTCAATCCTATTTTCTTTGACTTGCTTACATTTTCGTATGACCCACATTTATACATCTTTAAGTGCTTTTGTAGGTGTACAACCCTAGCATTCAATTCACACTTATCGCATCTTAGTGCTTAGTTTCATTTTCAAAAATTATTATTTTAAAAAATAAAATTCATATTACTCCTCACCATATAAGATCTAAACATACGTTTTTTTATAAAAAAGAAAAGAAACATATTTACTTAAGTAAGATAACTCTTTTGTATTGTTATGTCCGACATAGGATATACGTGGGTTGAATTTTGGGTTTAGAAGGGCGGGTAAACAATATTACCTAATAAGTTAATCTTTTGGATAATTGGTAAGCATCTGACTGGATACAACTAGTATCAAAGCAAGCCTGGAACTGACCCCTTTACAAAATTGACTCATGGTGAGTCCAATGGTATCAAAGCAGACCCAAGTTCTCATTTGTTATGTGGAGTGTGGATCGGATCTTTGGTTTAAAATGATGAGTAGACAACATTATCTAATATGCTAATCTTTTAAATAATTGGCCTAATATTTTAAGTAATTGACAAGTTTCAAGCGTATCAAAACAAGCCCATAAATGGGCCTCTTAAAAATCGACCAAGAGTTAGCGGGTGGTATTAGGGCAAGTTCAAGTTCCCATTTGTTATGTGGGCTTCCCAAAGAAGTGGACCTCCAAAAAAACCAACCAAAGATGAGTTCAGTTGGTCAGTGATACTGATGTTATGAGGGTATCATGTAATGCAGAGGGGTCTATTAAAAAACCGGCCAGAGATAAGTCGGACCGATTAATGATAATGTTAGACGTGATGAAAGCATCATGTAATTGAGAGGGGCTTATTAAAAAACCAACCAAAGGTGAGTCAACGACAGTGTTGGATGTGACAAGGGCATCACGTAATTGTAGAGGAGAGAATGTAGAATGTTACGTCTAACTGGTTAATGAGTAGGTTGAAATTATATTAGTAAATGATCATGTGTGATGTGAGGCTATAATACGCTATTGACATATAACATGTAGAAAGTAGAAGACATATATGTTACCTAAGATATCATAAGCCATGTCTCTGAACCTGAGATGGCGATGACCCAAATGAGCATGATGTTCAAGAACAAGAGAAATCAAGTTGTAGGAATAGAAGGTGACGAGAGCTCCAATCACCAAGCATAAAGTTCCAGCTGTCCAACCAAGAAAAGTAAAGGCATACGGCAGACTAAGGAGAGCTGGAGCCACAATTGAAGTCGTCAAGTGATATCCACAGTGTATCCATGAGCCTGTATACACGATATTATTATATTTTTTTCACTCATAAAAACATTAAAAAAAAAAAAATAATCAAAGTGATATCCACAATATGTATATCCAGAAACATTGAATAATAAATATACATGAATCAGAATCACAATTAATATAGACGGAAATGGGACCCTATATACAGTATATATGACAATGAAAGTGATATATGATCTTATCTACCCATTATAGAGTTAAAAAAACTATATATGTTAACAAAAAAACAAAAAAAATTTATTGCCAAGGGTTTGTGATGATGTATGCGTGACAGAAATTAATGGTTGATGGCATAAAAAATATTTAATTTAAAGGAAAAATAAAATATTATGCATGTTGTTTTGTTTTAATAAATAACTTTATTTTGAATAGTTATTAAATTATTTTTTAAAAATATATAATTTTAATGCTTTTGGAGTTTTAAAGTTTTAGTATGCAAACAAAGGAAAGTCTTTTAACTTACGAGATATAAAATTTAAATACTAGTTTTGGTTTTTGAATATAAAGGAGATCTATTTTTTGTCAGCTTTAGTATTATTTTCATTTGTATACTTCTTAATTTAGAAAATAAGTGAATATTACATCAAAGATACATGCTTCAATTTTTTTAATGATTGAGAGTGTTCAGGTCAACTTACGTGTACCTTAACTAATCTCCTAAGATCTTTGAACTATCGATCAGGTAAGAACTCTAATTGTTATCTCTATTAGCAATAAAAAAGGGACTCGAACCCAGAACCTTTTAAATAATATACCTAAAAATCTCTATCGAACCACTCAGTCACCTAGAGATAGTTATGCTTCAAAATTTTAAATATATTGAAATACAAGTAAGTTATTTATAACTTCCTTAACAATACTCTCCACACCAATTCATCTTTGTCATCCAAAATTCGTATTTTAAAACCTTTTTTTTTTTCTTAATTAATCTAGACAAAATAACTGTGATAAAATCCAATGTTCAAATATAAAATATAGTAATTAAAATTTTAAATAGAGTTTAACAGTCTTTAACACCTGGACAAATCTTTATCAATCCCCCTTTACAAAATAAAAATTTTAAAAAGTAATAATAAATGCAAACTAATCCAAATATCTCAATTATAATAAAAAAAAGAAGCTGAAGCCCCTGTGGAACACCCGATCATAAAAAATAAAAAAAAGGCTGAACAACTTATGCATACCAAGGTTTGTTGAAACGACAAGTTGATACCCCAAAAAGTTTTGAAACGACAAATGGATACCTTCCGTCATGTTCTGTTAGTGATTTTGGTTAGATAATAGTGAAAAGACTAAAAAACTTGAAAGTTTAATTTTGTTTTTTTAAATTTAAAAACTTCTAAAAAACCCCCTAGGTTTGCTAATTACTAAACAGCCTAATATAAAAATTTTATAAAATAACAAAAACACCCCCGCCACCCCCGCAGGCCGATTCCGGCCACACACCGCGGAATTGGCCGGAAAATTGCATTACGACACAGACCCATGATCTATGTCGTAACGGTAGATCTTTCATTTTCGGCAAGATTCGTGGTTGATCTGGCCGGAAAAGACCAGATCTACGGCCAGATCTGGGTCGAGACCGAAAACTTGCCAGAAAATTGTGTTACGACACATACCATGGATCTGTGTCGTAACAGTCGATCTAGCGTTTTCCGGCCAGATCCGTGGATGATCTGGCCGGGAAAAGGCCAGATTGGCGCGAGGCCGAAAAAGGCCAGATCGGTGTTAGACAAGATCCGACGGGTCTGTGTCGTAACACAATTTTTCGGCCAGATTCCGGCGGTGGTGGGGCGGAATCTGGCACTGCGGGGGTGGCGGGGGTGTTTTGTATTTTATAAAATTTTTATATATTGGGCTGTTTAGTCAAATTAGCAAACCTAGGAGGTTTTTTAGAAGTTTTAAATTTATAAAAAACTAAAATTAAACTTTCAAGGGTATTTTAGTCTTTTCACTATTATCTAACCAAAAAACACTAACAGAACATGACGGAAGATATCCATTGTCGTTTCAAAACTTTTGGATATCAACTTATTGTTTCGAAAAATATTGGTATGTATAAGGTTCTCCTACAAAAAAAGGCTGAAGCCTTGTAAATTGTCAATTCAACATTATCACGATTTGATTTCGTAGTACTGTCAAGTTGGTATCTAGTAAATAATGTTCAACAGTTGAAGCCACAATAGAAAAGGGGCTTCAATTTCTTAATTATGAAACTGAATTATCAATTGTGTTGATGGTGGTGTCCGATTCCCTCATTACCACTGCAAAATTTAACCAAATAAATGGGTCTACTCAAATTTCTCGTGTGTCATTTTCCAATTATTTGGCTTCAAATTTGAGGACAATTGATCTTCAACAATTAGGGTTAGAAAAAGTGATTGTGGTTAGAGCAATAAAAATTAACTAGGTTTAAAGAAACTTTTGAATTAAAATTGAACTAAAGAAAAGATACAATAAATTACTATGTTATCTATTTAACTAGTTAGGACAAATCCGATTTCTAGACTGAAAACTATTCTCAATTTCTTATTAATAGGAATCCTAAAAAAAAAAAAAAAAAAGAACTAAGGAAATAACTGAAATTCTTTCTAGTTTAAACTAAAACTGATATCCTTTCTTAATTTAATTAAATCCTAATTTAACTCAGATGCTCCTGCATCAAATTGATATAAGCTGTCGTCGGAAAAGATAGCAATCAGGTTTAACTTGTAAATGGGCAGCACGAAGAGAGATGAAGTTGTATGAACAGTTGCTTGTTGTGGGGAGACAAAAATATGTCTGGCTCCTAAAGTCTTAACAAATAGCCAGATTGGCGTGATTATACATTAGCAAATAATTTAAAAGTTTTGGCATCAAGGCCTATTTGTCGAACTGCTGCAATGGCTGCTACAAGTCCTAGTGTTGAGAAAACCACGGCGATAGTGACATTTAACCAAAATATGGAGCTACGCTTTGATGGCTTGAATGTCAAGTTAAAGAAAACCACTGGTAAGACAAAGTCGAGAGGCATGAAACCAAAAGCTCCAATGACCGAATTGATGTCTCCAAAGAATGGAAGCATTGCTGCTATGGTTGTTGATATAATAACAGATAATGAACGAGCAATGACCCTGGGGATAACATTGCGAGGAGAGAACTCTTTGCTTATTGGATCTGCAAAGGTTTGCTCAAGCACTTCATTTGTTGGCTGCAAATAAACCTGTAAAACCAATATGCTTTCATGAACATTCCAACTTTCAGAGAGAGCTGAGGAAGTTGTATATAGAGAAATGTTCTTACCACACCAACAGCTGATAGTTGCAGAATGGTGAACATATTGGTCATGAAAATAAACCACTTTGGGACCAAAGGTTTCCCATCATCCAAGAAGTTGCTAAGAATGAGGCCTTCAGATTGGTTGCCAAATGCCCAATAGCCAGATATGGCAACACTGAAGAAAGTTACAGTAACTACTGCATAACAAACACATAATCCCTTGAACATCTTCCCCTTTACCGGTGGTGCAATCGTCGCCTGCAAGTAGAATTTATAAGTGCCCATTACATTCAAACAACACCACAACTACAAAACGATTGTGCAAATAATTTTGCATCAAAAATTGATAAGATTCAATTTTCAGACCTGAATTTCAGGAATGATACCATTGCCAAATGTTGTGGCAATGATGGCGATAGCATTGAACATCCCAAAAACTCGACTCTGACTATCTCCAGTAACGGAATAGTCTTTACTTGGCCCTTTGGAGGAACTTCCTGACAAAAATAAACAATGGTTCATTTATAACTGAATATAGTATACACATTTGGTAACTGATGAAATAAGTTTATAATCTGCCATTGTTCTTACCGATATAAATAGAGCCGGCTGTAGCACAGGCGCTATATGCGAGGCATAGAGCTAAAGATATCAAGTTGATGTGCCTAAGAGAGTGGAAGGATGGGATTTGAGCTAAAATAAGCATAAGACATCCAAATATGATCACGAATTCATATAGCTTGATGGTGCCATTTGGTTCTACCAGTAAGTAAATGGCCTGCCAAAAAAGGAAGAACAAGTTTAAAAAGCATAGTATAAATCTGATTAAACAGTAAATGGGTAGAAATTGAATGTTAATTATAATGATAATGAAACTTAACCTTGATGCATTGTCCTCCCAGAAGAGTGCATGCTACAACAGCACCATAGCACACCATGAACTGAATTGGACCAACAAAATATCGACCCCAATTTGGCCCTGCAAAAATCCAGTTTGTGTATTCAAGTTGGGTAACATTTTGGATTTGTTGAATAGTAAAACAAGGATGCTTCTGTATCAAGTCATGTTTCAGTATGAATGATAAATTAAATTGTTTTGAATAAAAATAATATGTTTGGATAAGTGTTTGTGGGATTGTATATATTGTTCATTTGAACTATTGGCTTGATTGGTTGAAATATAGTGGTTATCTTTAAAAAGTATAGAGAGGAATAACTGTTGAGAGAGAGTTTGGAAACACAAATAGTTTTTGGGTTATATAATATAATTTCTCAAAAATCAGAAAAAAAAAGTGCCCATTTGGATTATTTACACTTTAATACAATTATTTATAATTTTTTTTGAGGTAAATGGTAATTATATAAAGAATAAAGAATTACAGTCTAAACGGGACAACCCTGAAAACAAGCATGACCCTAAACAGGCAAGAGACACCGCCTATCAAAAAAGAGCAATGGAAGCCGGAAAAGTATACCCTTTACACACCCAACAACACCCCTTAAACAGCCAATTATTTATTTATTTATTTATAACATATTGATTAGAAGGAGGTGAGAAAATTGAAACAAGATAGTCAAAGACAAAACTTTTGACCTAATTGGATAGTTTAGATTTAGCTGACAACTATATGAACATGTAGTGGCCAAAAACATCTTTGAAAACTAATCTCACTTTGAATATTAATAATGTGTAGCTTAATCTGTTCATTTATCAAAAGGCTGATGTTTTTGACTTCTAAAACACTTTCAAAAGAAGTACGTAACAATTTTAACATAAAAAATAAAATTCTCAATCTTTATTATTATTTTTTTTTATAGGCATAGGGGTATGTATGGAGGTGAAACCTTAACCACTACTAGATGGTTGAACGATCAACTAAGACTTATAGATATATTACTCAAAAAGTTTTGAGTTCGATCTATCTTGATTGCTAATAGGGGTGACCATTAGAGACTTACTCGGTCGTTAACTTCAGAATCTCAAAGGATTAATTTAAAATGCGTGCAAACTAATCCAAATATCTCAATTATAATAAAAATAAAAGAAGCTGAAGCCCCTGTGAACACCCGATCATAAAAAATAAAAAAAAGGCTGAACAACTTATGCATACCCAAGGTTTGTTGAAACGACAAGTTGATACCCAAAAAGTTTTGAAACGACAAATGGATACCTTCCGTCATGTTCTGTTAGTGATTTTGGTTAGATAATAGTGAAAAGACTAAAATACCTTTGAAAGTTTAATTTTTAGTTTTTTATAAATTTAAAAACTTCTAAAAAACCCCCTAGGTTTGCTAATTTAACTAAACAGCCTAATATATAAAAATTTTATAAAATAACAAAAACACCCCCGCCACCCCCGCAGTGCCAGATTCCGGCCACCACCGCCGGAATCTGGCCGGAAAATTGCATTACGACACAGACCCATCGGATCTATGTCGTAACGCGTAGATCTTTCATTTTCCGGCAAGATTCGTGGTTGATCTGGCCGGAAAAGACCAGATCTACGGCCAGATCTGGCCGTCGAGACCGAAAACTTGCCAGAAAATTGTGTTACGACACATACCCATCGGATCTGTGTCGTAACACGTCGATCTAGCGTTTTCCGGCCAGATCCGTGGATGATCTGGCCGGAAAAGGCCAGATCTGGCCGTCGAGGCCGAAAAAGGCCAGATCGGTGTGTTACGACACAGATCCGACGGGTCTGTGTCGTAACACAATTTTTCGGCCAGATTCCGGCGGTGGTGGCCGGAATCTGGCACTGCGGGGGTGGCGGGGGTGTTTTTGTTATTTTATAAAATTTTTATATATTGGGCTGTTTAGTCAAATTAGCAAACCTAGGGGGTTTTTTAGAAGTTTTTAAATTTATAAAAAACTAAAAATTAAACTTTCAAGGGTATTTTAGTCTTTTCACTATTATCTAACCAAAATCACTAACAGAACATGACGGAAGATATCCATTTGTCGTTTCAAAACTTTTTGGATATCAACTTATTGTTTCGAAAAATATTGGGTATGTATAAGTCGTTCTCCCTACAAAAAAAGGCTGAAGCCCTTGTAAATTGTCAATTCAACAATTATCACGATTTGATTTTCGTAGTACTGTCAAGTTGGTATCTAGTAAATAATGTTCAACAGTTGAAGCCACAATAGAAAAGGGCCTTCAATTTCTTAATTATGACAACTGAATTATCAATTGTGTTGATGGTGGTGTCCGATTCCCTCATTACCACTGCAAAATTTAACCAAATAAATGGGTCTACTCAAATTTCTCGTTTGTCATTTTCCAATTATTTGGCTTCAAATTTGAGGACAATTAGATCTTCAACAATTAGGGTTAGAATAAAGTGATTGTGGTTAGAGCAATAAAAATTAACTAGGTTTAAAGAAAACTTTTGAATTAAAATTCTGAACTAAAGAAAAGATACAATAAATTAACTATGTTATCCTATTTATACTAGTTAGGACAAATCCGATTTCTAGACTGAAAACTATTCTCAATTTCTTATTAAATAGGAATCCTAAATAAAAAAAAAAAAAAAAGAACTAAGGAAATAACTGAAATTCTTTCCTAGTTTAACTAAAACTGATATCCTTTCTTAATTTAATTAAAATCCTAATTTAACTCAGATGCTCCTGCATCAAAATTGATATAAGCTGTCGTCGGAAAAGATAGCAATCAGGTTTAACTTGTAAATGGGCAGCACGAAGAGAGATGAAGTTGTATGAACAGTTGCTTGTTGTTGGGAGACAAAATCTGTGCCTCAATTTTAACAAGAATGGGTACTACGTAGATGACTGTGAGTCTGTGACTGTGACAAGCCTTGCAAATTTGCAGTATGCAATAAACTATAAAGAGTGGATTTTCAATCCTATTTTCTTTGACTTGCTTACATTTTCGTATGACCCACATTTATACATCTTTAAGTGCTTTTGTAGGTGTACAACCCTAGCATTCAATTCACACTTATCGCATCTTAGTGCTTAGTTTCATTTTCAAAAATTATTATTTTAAAAAATAAAATTCATATTACTCCTCACCATATAAGATCTAAACATACGTTTTTTTATAAAAAAGAAAAGAAACATATTTACTTAAGTAAGATAACTCTTTTGTATTGTTATGTCCGACATAGGATATACGTGGGTTGAATTTTGGGTTTAGAAGGGCGGGTAAACAATATTACCTAATAAGTTAATCTTTTGGATAATTGGTAAGCATCTGACTGGATACAACTAGTATCAAAGCAAGCCTGGAACTGACCCCTTTACAAAATTGACTCATGGTGAGTCCAATGGTATCAAAGCAGACCCAAGTTCTCATTTGTTATGTGGATCGGATCTTTGGTTTAAAATGATGAGTAGACAACATTATCTAATATGCTAATCTTTTAAATAATTGGCCTAATATTTTAAGTAATTGACAAGTTTCAAGCGTATCAAAACAAGCCCATAAATGGGCCTCTTAAAAATCGACCAAGAGTTAGCGGGTGGTATTAGGGCAAGCTCAAGCTCCCATTTGTTATGTGGGCTTCCCAAAGAAGTGGACCTCCAAAAAAACCAACCAAAGATGAGTTCAGTTGGTCAGTGATACTGATGTTATGAGGGTATCATGTAATGCAGAGGGGTCTATTAAAAAACCGGCCAGAGATAAGTCGGACCGATTAATGATAATGTTAGACGTGATGAAAGCATCATGTAATTGAGAGGGGCTTATTAAAAAACCAACCAAAGGTGAGTCAACGACAGTGTTGGATGTGACAAGGGCATCACGTAATTGTAGAGGAGAGAATGTAGAATGTTACGTCTAACTGGTTAATGAGTAGGTTGAAATTATATTAGTAAATGATCATGTGTGATGTGAGGCTATAATACGCTATTGACATATAACATGTAGAAAGTAGAAGACATATATGTTACCTAAGATATCATAAGCCATGTCTCTGAACCTGAGATGGCGATGACCCAAATGAGCATGATGTTCAAGAACAAGAGAAATCAAGTTGTAGGAATAGAAGGTGACGAGAGCTCCAATCACCAAGCATAAAGTTCCAGCTGTCCAACCAAGAAAAGTAAAGGCATACGGCAGACTAAGGAGAGCTGGAGCCACAATTGAAGTCGTCAAGTGATATCCACAGTGTATCCATGAGCCTGTATACACGATATTATTATATTTTTTTCACTCATAAAAACATTAAAAAAAAAAAAATAATCAAAGTGATATCCACAATATGTATATCCAGAAACATTGAATAATAAATATACATGAATCAGAATCACAATTAATATAGACGGAAATGGGACCCTATATACAGTATATATGACAATGAAAGTGATATATGATCTTATCTACCCATTATAGAGTTAAAAAAACTATATATGTTAACAAAAAAACAAAAAAAATTTATTGCCAAGGGTTTGTGATGATGTATGCGTGACAGAAATTAATGGTTGATGGCATAAAAAATATTTAATTTAAAGGAAAAATAAAATATTATGCATGTTGTTTTGTTTTAATAAATAACTTTATTTTGAATAGTTATTAAATTATTTTTTAAAAATATATAATTTTAATGCTTTTGGAGTTTTAAAGTTTTAGTATGCAAACAAAGGAAAGTCTTTTAACTTACGAGATATAAAATTTAAATACTAGTTTTGGTTTTTGAATATAAAGGAGATCTATTTTTTGTCAGCTTTAGTATTATTTTCATTTGTATACTTCTTAATTTAGAAAATAAGTGAATATTACATCAAAGATACATGCTTCAATTTTTTTAATGATTGAGAGTGTTCAGGTCAACTTACGTGTACCTTAACTAATCTCCTAAGATCTTTGAACTATCGATCAGGTAAGAACTCTAATTGTTATCTCTATTAGCAATAAAAAAGGGACTCGAACCCAGAACCTTTTAAATAATATACCTAAAAATCTCTATCGAACCACTCAGTCACCTAGAGATAGTTATGCTTCAAAATTTTAAATATATTGAAATACAAGTAAGTTATTTATAACTTCCTTAACAATACTCTCCACACCAATTCATCTTTGTCATCCAAAATTCGTATTTTAAAACCTTTTTTTTTTTCTTAATTAATCTAGACAAAATAACTGTGATAAAATCCAATATTCAAATATAAAATATAGTAATTAAAATTTTAAATAGAGTTTAACAGTCTTTAACACCTGGACAAATCTTTATCAATCTCCCATTACAAAATAAAAATTTTAAAAAGTAATAATAAAATATTAGTATTTGGGAGATACTGTGGTCACTGGTCAGCCCATCACTGGTTAACGATTTGGTGTAACTTTTCATTAAAATAAATATTAATGTATTAAAAAAAAATTAATCCGAAGCCAACAGCTATCAGCATGTGCGACAATTCCTGATAAGCTGTAAGGTATAATCTAAATTATAGACGTTGCATAATTTGACTCTGCTAAACTGAATCTCGGGATTCTTGATTCCGTGAAACATTTTTCACGGAATCAAGTAAACAAATTAAGATTTTATAGTTTAAAAAAAAAAAAATTGTTTGATTACGTAAAAGCTTAAACAAGGAGAAAATACAGGTAAAGAAGAAAAAAGAAAAAGAAAAAGAAAACAGTTGATGGAGATGACGGTAGAGTCACAGAAGAAAACAAAAGAAGCAAAGGATGATCACGTCAATGAGAAGAAAAAAAGAAAAAAGGATGAAATGGTGATGATCGTCATTTTGGAAGTTCAGTTTCTTCATTAATAAAGTGTTCAAGTTTAAGAAGAAATAAAGGAGAATATATAAATGATCGAAGTTGATGAATAAAATCTAATATAAAGATCATCACGACTATGCATAAAGAGGGAAGGGGAAAAAAGAAAAAAAGTAAAAAAGAGCTATTTTAATTATACCTTTGGATTTAAGAACGAAGAGAGCACCGGCATCAAGCTCCTTCTGGTTATGGCCGTCGTTGTGAGCTTCTTGAGAAATCTTTGAAGCTTCAGGGATGGAGCTTGGACGAACTGTACCCATCTCTCTCAATACTTCAATATTGTGATGGAGAAGATTGTATATATTTATATAAAAATTTTGTCAAGTTGTGTTAATTGATAGTTCAATATTGTGACCAGCAACCGTATCTTTGACTATTTTTCCTGAAAATTATGAAGCTATACTTAACATTCAATGTTTCAAATGTTATTTAATTAGTATATTACGTATTTTAAGCTATATGCTCGGAAAGATAAAGGTTGATTTGAATGGACAACAATGCCCTTAATTATATGCATTTATTTTGGGTTAGGTCGACTGATTTATTTAATGAAAAGATATGTTGTGTTAATTGATAGTTTTGATAGGGTTTACAATACTGATTTAGTCATTAATGGTTATTTATAATCAACTCTCAAGAGTTTTAATACCTCAAAATAGAAAGTGAAGTTAGATACCTTATGAGAAACTACAAACCCTTCTATTTAACCTTCACTCTCTTCTACGGAAGCACTGCATTATCCTTGCTTTAATCACATTATTTCTTTCTCATTTATCTTTATATTAAACATGATTGTTAGTTATTAATGAAAATTAATAACCATGTGATCTACGTGCATCGTTCTTTGTGGTATATGTAAGCAATATTATGTGTTATGCACTTTCTCTATTCTTACTCTTTCACTCTTTATTGGACATGAAAAAAAATGTCATTTATACAACTTTATAGGATAGGAAGAATGAGAATATACCTACAATTTGATTTTAAGTATATATGAAAAATAAATTCTTGAAATGAGAGAGGTCATAAATTTTAGTAAAAGGTTTTTCTTTTAACTGTCAGTAAGTAGAAAACATAGTTTTAATATATATATATATATATATATTTTTTTTTTTTTTTTTTTTGCGCACACCTCAACTAATTTTCGAAACCAATTAAACATCCTACGAGCTCAATGCTTCAAAGTAAGTCACAAATTGTGGTAGGTAACCACAAGGTCGTTCGAACTCAAGAAGACAATGAAGAAAACAAACATTTTTGACAGTCAAATCAACCCTTTGGGGTTAATAGTTTTTAAGTATTAGTTTTTATATTTTTATCCTATCTCTTTAAAAGTTACTAATTTTGAAGAACATAATTGTTAGGGCCAAAAATCGTCTTGGGCTTGATGAGGCCCAATAATGAAATATACATGTCACGGCTCAAGACCTCAACTCAATCCCGATTGGACCTACACTTAAAATCACCTTGCGACCTACCCACTCTATGAGTTGGGCTATCCTATAAGTTAAGCTAAACTGGGTTTCAGCCCATTAGCCTGCAACAGTCTATAAATAGGAAATTAGAATCACATTCTATTTCCTCTTATACTAAGATTTCAAATCTTACTCAAACTATTAAACTTAATCTAATAAGGTCAAGAAATCATATCTCTTTCATTATAGGGATTATCTCCCAAAATAGGACTTAGTGTCCTACTAAGATTTCAAATCTTATTTAAACTATTAAACTTAATCTGATAAGGTCAAGAAATCATATTTCTTTCTTGATAGGGATTATCTCCAAAAAAAGAGGACTCAATGTCCTACTAAGATTCTAACCCTTTGGGTTCACTATAAAAACAGAGGCTTGTCCTCTCATTAGGGAGGCAATCTCTTATAGTCAATCTACACTACTCAAAACCATCTATTTGCTCCTAAAGTTCTTGCTCCCAAGAACCCGACGCCGCCGTAATTCTAGCCTCCGACAAGACTCCTGGTAATTCTTCATCTCCTTAATTCTTATCAAATAATCTCTTTCAGCCTCGTTGACTTGAGCGTCGGAGTGCCTACAGCAAACACCACCTCGGTGTTTTCCAGAAGCTTCACGCTTGCCCTTTCATGTGTACTGGTCTAACGGATTGTCAGTGGCCTCAACCTCACGGGATCAGACCCTATTTTCATGATGGTAGATTTTTTGCATCTACAGTTTGACGCCCACCGTGGGGCCCTGACAGTCATCTGCCAATGACGACTTACAACATGGGAGGTGATACGAAACTCCTTTTGACTAACAATGTTAATCAGAAAATCTCATCACAATAAGATTTTTTTTTCTTTATTTTTCTTCATTTGTTTTATCCATTCACATGTCATATTATATCTATTCGGCATATCGTAATTTATTTCATATTATATCCATTCAGCGGGTAGTATAAGACCTTGAAGCTCATATTATTGTTCTAAATTAATAATAGCTCCATATTATTGTTCTAAATTAATAATAGAATAATAATGTGTCATAGTTTAAAGTGGTGTTCCTAAACCACTTGATTCATTGACTTTGCTTCAATAATCTCTCTTCTCTAATCCTCTGTTCAGATAAGGCAATAGCTTCTGTCTCTAACCTCTCTGCACGTGCCTTTTCACTTCAATCATCAAACCACCAGGTGGTCCGTCAACGTCATCAAAGCTTTGCAATGCATTACCTGCCGCAAAACCAATCAATTTGTTCATTCAAGAAGATGCCGCAATACGCCAGCATCTCCAAGACCTCCTCTCCAATAGAAGGTAACCCAAACTCGAACCATCGCCCCTTCCCAAACAGTACATATCAACTCAAACCACTTTCACATCACAATCTCCAGCACACCTGTCACAAAAGCCCTCACATCCCTGCTATTTGCAAACTTTCCACTCCTCACTACAACTCAGCACCACTAAACAACACGAGTAGTCCACTCAATGATATTTGGGTTTGCATATACAATACCAACGTGCCCATTCAGATCAACCCAAAAGTGAATCACGTGCCCACTCAACTTTAACTGGTTCAGCTCCGACATAGAAAGTAACACCCCTCTCTCCACTCGGTCCAGCAAGCATGGGTGGTAGCACTTGAAGGGGAAAGGTATGTGTCATTGTCTCCTTTAACTACCACTCTATTTGGTTAAATCTTTCTCTATTTGGCCCATTACTTAAATACATGTAGCCTATTTTTCCATTTAGCTCACTCTTTATTCAGTCCATAACCCATGCACATCATGCATATTAACTCTCAATTCGACTATTTGCTTAAAACATGTATGTCACTGCTCCAACTTCAATAGAATGTTTTCAACTACAAAGTCGGTCACGCCGACTGGGCCACATAGCCCTCAAATGTTTCAACTACAAGTCGATCATGCCGACTCGACTGCAAGCTCCATACAAGCTCCACTTGGCATACACCATCAGATCGGCCCTGCCCGATTCACGGATTTACTCCATCAGATCGGCCTTGCAAGATCCACAGATTTACACTTTCGGATTGCCCCTGCCCGATCCATGATTTACACCTTCGGATCGACCCTGCTCGATCCACGGATTTACACCTTCAGATCGGCCTTGCTCGATCCATGGATTTACACCTTCGGATCGACCCTACTCGATCCATGAATCTACACCTTCTGTCGACCCTGCCCGATCCACAAATTTACACATTCGGATCAACCTTGCTCGATCCACGGATTTACACCTTCGGATGGACCCTACTCAATCCACAAATCTACACCTTCGGATCGGCCTTGCCCGATCCACGGATTTACACCTTCGGATCGATCTTGCTCCATCCACGGATTTACACCTTCGGATCGATCTTGCTCGATCCACGGATTTACACCTTCGGATCGACCCTGCTCAATCCTTGGATTTACACCTTCGGATCGACCCTGCTTTATCCATAGATTTACACCTTCGGATCGACCCTGCTTGAGATTTACACCTTTGGATTGACCCTGCTCAATCCACGGATCTACACCTTCGGATCGGCCCTACTCCATCCATGGATTTACACCTTCGGATCGACCCTGCTCGATCCATGGATGTACACCTTCGGATTGACCCTACTCAATCAACAGATCTACACCTTCGGATCGACCCTGCCTGATCCATAGATTTACACATTCAGATCAACCCTGCTCGATCCACGGATTTACACCTTCGGATTGATCCTACTCAATCCACGGATCTACACCTTCGGATCAGCCTTGCCCAATCCACGGATTTACATCTTTGCGATCCAAGGATTTACACCTTTGGATTGACCCTACTTAATCTACGGATTTATACCTTCGGATCGACCCTGCTTGATCCACAGATTTACACCTTCGGATTGACCCTGCTCTCAATCTACGGATTTACACCTTCGGATCCACCCTGCTCGATCCATGGATTTACACCTTCGGATTGACCCTACTCAATCCACGGATCTACACATTCGGATCGGCCCTACCCGATCCACGGATTTACACCTTCGGATCGACCCTGCTTGATCCACGGATTTAAACCTTCGGATTTACCTTGCTCGATCCACGGATCTACACCTTCGGATCGGCCTTGCCTGATCCATGTATTTACACCTTTGGATCGACCCTGCTCGATTCACGGATTTATACCTTCGGATTGACCCTGCTCAATCCACAGATCTACACCTTTGGATCGACCCTACTCGATCCATGAATTTACACCATCGGATCAGCCCTACCGATCCACGGATTTTCACCTTTGGATCAACCCTGCTCGATCCATGGATTTACACCTTCGATCGGCCTTGCCCGGTCCATAAAGCTACACATTCAGTCGGCCAGACCGGTTGAAGGGTTCTTGCACCTCAAATCGACAAGTCATCGACCTAATCCACATAACGATCCATCCGACCTAACGAGCTGCTATCACTAATTCACTCAGTCTGCACTCATTCGATTAAATCTACCCTCTAAGCTAAATACTCTTTAACTTAGAGAGTGGGGGGCTAACTGTTAGGGCCAAAAATTGTCTTGGGCTTGAAGAGGCCCAATAACAAAATAAACATGTCACGGCCCAAGACCTCAACCCAATCCCGATTGGGCCTACGCTTAAAATCACCTTGCGACCTACCCACTCTATGAGTTGGGCTATCTTATAAGTTAAGCTAAACTGGGTTTCAGCCCATTAGCCTGCAACGGTCTATAAATAGGAAATCAGAATCACATTCTATTTCCTCTTATACTAAGATTTCAAATCTTACTCAAACTATTAAACTTA